ATTACAATTCTACTGCACACGATTTGGTAGAAAAGTGTGATCCGCTATTTCTGACTACAGCAGAAAATCGTTCGCTATGATTGAAAAAAATAATAATGCAACTGTCTCTACAAACATCAGGAGTTTGTGCACATCTCCTTTCCAGATTTATTTATTAGATTTGTTGGCTACCCATCTTTCTTTGAAGCGACTTTTTGGGTTGTGTAATTGGCTCATTGAAAATAAAGCAGAGTCGGACAAATGTTTTCAGTCTGTGTATATAGAATATGGCTTCTTTCATGACAGGATCAATAAAGGTGCCCATCTTTACACAGGAGGGGACAAATGAAAGAATGAAGTTCCAAAATTATGGAACTAGAAACCAACTTAGCAGCGAGGGCTGTAATGTTTCTTTCCCTAGGAGTAAATCTATTCAGCAGGATTTCTTATTAATAAACATTTATGAGGTAGTTCTTAATAGTGCAATTCATACAAGGTTTCTATGAGGAATGAATTAGGGGGGAGGTTTATGCAACCATAAATATGAATAATAAACAAATTCTCTTTATGGAACAAGCACTACCATAACAACAACATATGGGGAAGAAGGTAACAAGAGATTGGTTTTGTAAAATTAAAAAAGGAGATCTTTTTTGAGTCAAATGTTTAAAATGGAATGAAGTGTTGCACAGATAATTAATTGGGAGATGGAGGGAAATAGAGTGGATGAAAAGACATGACAGGGTGACATTTGAGATCGGAAAGTCAACAGGGCAGTCTTTTGAAGTGATTCAACTGAATAAGTAATCTTTTTCAAAAAGTCTCCTGATGACACAAATGGATTTCCCTTACTCCAGTTCTCCTTTGGATGCCACATGGCATAAGCAGACAATAAGGGGATTATAGGCGTTTACAAATTTCATTTCCAGAATTGAAGATACAGGAGGAGAGAGGAGAGAGAGAGAAGAGAGGAAAGGAGAGGGAGACACTGAATCCAGTTGCATAGTCTCTATAGATATCTAATTTGAACATATAAATAGGTGATAAGGTTTGCCACCTGCATACCCAAGCTAATGCTATGTTTAATGATTACATGAAGTTATAGTATAAAAAATTATAAGTTGTATAACAGGGCACAGCCTGAGTCTGGGAATGCTCCAGGGGTGGGATTCTACAGGTTCGCACCTATTCGCTAGAACCGGTTGATAACATTCTAAGCAGTTTGGAGAACCGGTTGTTAGAAGAAATTACTGGCCTAATCCTGTAAGGAAGGCAGGAAGGAAACATTCTGGTGTTGCTTACAGAAACTGCCTCTCTGTTAACCCTTATTACATTCTTGGTAGGACTAGACTTCCTGTCTCTGGAACTTCTCTTGAGTATTTTTCCCCTCCTTTGCTGGTACTTTGCTTGTGTGGAGTGACCATTCAAAGTTACAATGGCGTTGAAAAAAGTGATTTATAACCATTTTTCACACCTACAACTGTTCCAGCATCCCCACAGTCCCAAGAGGACAGGCGAGGAGATGCATGCCTCGATGTGAGCGATGTTGAGTTGGCCATGCCCAGCCAGTCACATGACCACCAAGCCATGCCCACCAACTAAGCCACGTCCACAGAACTGGTTGTTAAAAAAATTGAATCGCACCCCTGGAATGCTCCCTGAGGTAAGTAATGCCAGGTGCAGAGATACTGGGAGGTTCACAGGAAGGGCATTTCACCTTATAAGCTAGTTTCCTGCACTTCTTGTTTTGTGCATGGTTATAAAAGCTTTACAAAAGCCTTGGCATAGACAGGTCATGACAGAGTACCACATTCATACTTGTTGCCCATCAGAGAAAACATTGCACGCCTCTCCTGCAAATATTTTACCATTAATAACACTTGTGATGATCACAGTAGCTTTCAACCTCTGGGGAAATTGACCCTGAAGGGCAATTAAATTTGAGCATTAAACACCATAATACCATTTCTCTTCTCACATGATTTTGTTTGAAATATAGGCAGCCATGTAGGAAGGCAACAGGTGGCAAGTGACATCCCATGTATGATGCAAAATATGCATTTTGAGGCACAACTTACACATTTTGTGTTATTTGCAAAGGAAGTGTATTTATTTTATTAAGATATATGGAAAGTTATCATGGCTTACTCCTGGATGACTACAAACTTTTTTGGTGGGGGTGGGGGGCTGGCTAAAGGTATCTCATTTTCAGTCCTATATTTATTTATGCAAAGAACCAAAAAAATCATTGTTCAATCGCTTAGTTGTGTCTGACTCTTCAAAACCCCATGGACCCTAATACAACAGGCCCCTGTTCTCCACTGTGTTGTTGTTCAGTCAGAAAAATAACTACCAAAGATTTAGAAAATATGCATTAGAATGATAACAATCCAACCATTATCTGAACTGATGATATTAATTGCCATTTATATTTAATACAATAATAATTCAACCTACACTAAATAATTTTTTTTAATATACAGTATGTCCTAGAACTCTTAGCCTTTATAGAAAGTCACAACACATCTGTTCCTTTGAGCTTATTTCTTTAGTGCATTTAACACTATGGAAAACTCACTGTAATGGAATGAAATAAAAGGTAAAGTTAATGACCTACATATTCTTATCTTTTAAACACATGATTTACAACTTATGTAAGTTCTGAAAGATGTGTTTGAGTATTAAAAGTTTATATTATATTTATTATCATAAAACCTGCTTTCTCAAAAGAACCCTCCCAACTCACTTCAGCAAAACTTATATTTTACTCAACCTATCTGATGTTAAAATTAAGATCAATGTTAACATTCATAAAATTCAGTGGGACTTACATTTGAGATCATACCAGAGGTGGTATTCAGCAGGTTCTGACCAATTCTGGAGAACTGGTAGCAAAATTTTTTGAGTAGTTCGGAGAACCAACAAATACTAGCTCTGACTGGAGATTTTACAGTCTCCTTCCCCTGCCACGCTCACCAATCCACACCCATAGAACTGGTAGTAAAGAAATTTGAATCCTACCACTGGATCATACCATGAGCTGCAAAGCATGTTTTTAATTGATACCAAGGTTTTCTCTGTATTTGTCAATGAAAATATGCATCTTCTATTGTTTTAGTTTTAGCGCTACCAAAATAGCCTTAAAATCTGTGAAAAGTAAACAAAGCTGGTACAGAGGACTTCTTAACTGATATTTCTCTTTTCCAAATAATATTGTTCGGATGCCAAGTATGTTTTAGTGTGAAAAGTAAGCCATGTATAGGTAATTAATAGTAGCATCTACAAATAAATTACTACATAAACTTAAGTCTTTCCAAAATGTGACATATGGACAAATAAAAATGCTGGTTTATTAACAGGAAGTTGTTGCTTATGTTCCTCTTGAATTTTTATTAATGTTTAAAGGATTCTTCTCATAAACAGCTCCCTTCCAGAATTCCAGGCCCAGGGTAATAAATGAACTATAATTTATTTTTCAGCATAAGCTTGTTAACATAATTAGAGCCTTTTCTTGCCTTACATATTTGCATATAGATTTCCACAATTTGCCCCAGGATAATACACCAATATTAAAAAGCTTATAAAAATATTATTACAATATGAGGGGAATGGTGTTTGCATGTGTGTATTTTGATCTGTGTAAACTACAAAGTCACTCATGGGAGATGGGCAGCTACATAAATCATATTAAATAACAAATAAAATAACACAGAAATTGGGCTCTGTACAAGCAGCCCTCAGTTGGTTCTTGTCTGGCCCAAGCCAGACAAGAAACAATGAGATCCAATCGAGTCCAATTGCTTACTAGCTTTCACCTAATGAACAGAATCTTGCCAAACTAAAGCTATAACTTCTTTCAGGTCCCCCAAAGCTCCCCTCTCAGAGATTTGCAAAATCAAAATTATTTTCTAAATTCTGAAGATATTGGAAAAAATATAAAACAATGTCAGTCTTCTCATAATTTTTATTTGCTAAAAATACAGTTGTCTTCATGAAAAGTATTTTATTTGTACCTACTGTATAACTAAAGGGTGCAACGTTGTTATTTTTATATAAATCAGTCAATAAATATTCTACAAATGCATCAAATTTCATTTTTAATATGGTAAATAAATATAGCCCATAGAAAGAAAAGTTGCTTTGGGATCCTTCATAATTTTTAAAAATAGGAATGGTTCCAAGATCCAAAAGTATAAGAAACTGCTCTAGCAGAATTTGTTTTCCTTTTGTTTTAGTCTCTAGATGGCAATAGAGAGCAACCATCCAGCCACTTTGACAAGCCATACGATTAAGTATAGATAGTCCTCAACTTACAAACACAATTGAGCCCAAAATGTATGTTGTTAAGTGAGACATTTGTTAAGTGAATTTTGCTCCATTTTACAACCTTTCTTGCCACAGTTAAGTGAATCACTGCTGTTGTTAAGTTAGCAGCATGGTTTATTAAGTGAATTTGGCTTACTATTGACTTTGCTTGTCAGAAGGTCACAAAAAGGGATCAGATGATCCCAGGATGCTGTAACTGTCATAAATATGAGTCAATTGCTGAGCGTCTGAATTTTGAGATCACATGACCATGGGGTTGCAGCAACAGCGTAAGTGTGAAAAAAACAGTCATAAGTAATTTTTTTCAAGGCTGTTGTAACTCTGAACTGTTGTAAGTTGAGGATCACACCTGTATACCTTCAAGTACAATAGAATAAATAGCAGGTGTAAAGGGGACACCTTCCTGTTCAATGATAAAGCTGCCTTCCATGATCTACATAAAGCTCATTTAAGCATTCACCGCACAGGGAAACTCATCTATGGAAGGAATTTCAGTACTATCTACAGAATCTGAACACCCCATGCATAAGTGTAGTATATAGCAGTGGGGCGGTGCTCAGGGTTACCACCACCTTCCAAGCTTTCCTTGTACATTTTTCATCATGTCAGTGGCTGCCAGAAGCAGGCTAGAATGAATGACAAATGGAAAAGCAAGCGAGCCCAACAAATGAACAGTCAAACAAAGCAATCCTTACCAGTTTTCCCAGTATTTTTCATCCAAGTCTTGTTAGAAGATTCATTATCGAAGCCAACCAGGCGTATTTCCTGATATTCCGCTCCAACGTGTGCCTGATGGTCTATGATGTCGATTGGAGACTGGTGAGTTCTCCCACAATCTGCATTTGAAGTAACCCAATGCTCAGGTCCATATGCCCCTGTTCCAAAGAGATCAAAATAATTCATTCATTATTGTTTTATTTAGAATCCTGCCATTGTTATTATTTGCAAACAATTCAAGGTGGCGAACATATATAATACTACTACTTTCTATTTTTCCCACAGCAACTTCCTTGTGGAGGGAGTTGGTGTTGTGGCCTGTTGGCTGCCGGGCCCCTCCAGCAGCTGAATCAGAGGAGGAGGAGGAGGCGTGGGAGTCAGAGTCAGCATCAGGGTAACCTGGGAGCTCCCAGGGGGAAGAGGCAATGGAGCTGGCTGAGAGAGAGAGAGAGAGGCAGAGCCTGGGCCATCCATCAGCCCTCAGATGGAGAGTCAACACCCCCCCCAGGGCTGGAGGTGGCTGAAGAAAAAGAGAAGGAACAGCTGGGTCCAGTGCCTGACAAGCGGCTGTGTAGAAGGCAGAGAAGAGGAGAGCAGTGGGCTAATCCTGGGGAAGGAAGAACTGCCATTGCTAGCAAGGCCCCACCCTAGTTCTGGGGATAAAAGGCAGAGGGCAGAGATGAACAGATGTGGCAGACAACTATGTGGGACTAGAACTTACAATCTCCTGGTTTCTATTCTGGTGCCTTAACCCCTAAACCAAAATTGGATCTGTGCAATCGGCTTGTATAGCCTTTTTATGAACAAGAGTATTTGTAACAATGATTCAACCAACGAGGAGACCAACCTGAATTATGAAATGGAGAATTGGATCTGAATTGCATTCTTAGCATAAAATCATCATAGTATTTGTAAAGAACGCATCTCTTCTTTTCTTTCACTGCTTTTTACTGCTAGGACAATTTTCCCTCCCCATAGTATACAACTGTTGTGCATAATATTCAGGATATAATGCTAAATATTTTCCAAGTGAAAAAGAGTAACGCCAAAATTAGTGTACAACTTCAAACTATGGGGAGGCACTAGTTTATACCTAACACATTTGTGAAGGAGCAAATATTTATTAGCTAGGTTAAATGTAATATTCTATGAAATCGGTAAACAAAGTAGTAATTTGTAAAGGTATCTTTTTATTCACTGCATACCGCTATGGCGTTTAGCGCTAACTAGCCCCTTGCCCGTGAAAGCTGAAATGTAGCTTTAATTGAAACTGATCTTCCACTACAGATTTCAAATTAATTCATTTTTTTCTAAGCGTCTCGTGCTCCAAACATCTTTGCCTAGAAACGGAAAAAAATCATATGCCATTAAGTGGAGGAAACTAGTTTAGCTTGTGGATATTGATTATCCATTCCCTGTATCCAAGCTCAATTGCCATTCTACTTAAAAACAAACCAAAAAACCCTCCCATATCAAACATTTTATGTAGTACACCAAGTTCTGTTTCCAAGTCATTTTTAATTTGCATTTGGCTGGGCAATTGATTTATTTAAATTAATAGGAATATTCAATTATGTTACTTATGTTTTCAAATCATGCTATTTTTTAAATGAACTTTTCAACAACTGAATTTTTATAGAAAAAGTATAAAGGACTGAAGAATCCCAATATGGTCCAAAGGAAAAAAAAATATCTGTATTTATTTCAGCTGCTTTTAGTTCTGCTGTGACCATCAAGTAGATCGGAGATTATGCCTACTCAAAACTATTGAGAAATAGCAATAGCACTTAGGCTTATATTCTGCTTTGTAGTGCTTTAAAGCCCTCTCTAAGCAGTTTACAGAGTCAGCATATTACACCCCAACAACCTGGGTCCTCATTTTACCAACCTCGGAGCGATGGAAGGTTGAATCAATTTTGAGCTGCTCGGAATCAAACTCCTAGAGTGAGCAGTGAGTTAGCCTGCAGTACTGCATTCTAACCACTGTGCTACCACAGTTCCTAATACCATAGGAATAATACCATTTTTTTCTCCTACCAGAAGCCACCCTGTTCAGCAACATTTTCCATCAGCTTGGGTGGGGACGGACAATTTTGAATCTCTGGTTATCTAGGCGAAAGGCTGTAGAATCCTTCTTTAAGCTCAGAGAGCACCAGACCCAAACTCAGAATTTAGAATACTGTTAAAAGTATCCTTTCTAAATCATGACCTATATCAGATTTCCAAAGAGATTAATACAACCATGGATAGAATCTATATTTTTAATTTATTCCATTGTAGGACAACAGCAGGCATTCTTCAATCCTCAATTGGAACGCGGTAGCTCATGTGGTTAGACCAACTGGACTAAGGATTAACAACCCTGTGTTCGAGACCCGAGTTCTACTGCATGACAAGCTCCCATCATTTGCTCCACTCCTGCCAATGTAGCAGTTTGAAAGTGTGCATCTGTGAATAGATAAGATACCATTTTAGTGGGAAAATTTACAGGGACATGAAAGGAGCCCCCAACCAGGCATCCCCCGGGCAACGGGAATGTCACCAGCTAATCCTTTCAATCCAGAAGCACGTTGCTGAGATGCTTCCAACTTGAATATAGTAGCAATCCCTCAATTTTAATTCAATGGCCGATTTTCAGCGATACACTTTCCAAAATTTGGTGGTGAAATTTCCTATTTTGACATTTAAAATGTATACTGAAAAATGTAATATTTAAAAGACAGCTAAAGCAAGGAAAATTTAACCTCAGCCCAGGGATGGGATTCGACTGGTATAACTACTGGTTCTGCTGCTCTGCGTCATGCGAGTACAATTTACGACCTGCTGAATTGCCTGGACAGCTGAGCAGAGCTGCGTGCAAGTGCGCAGCGGTTAGAAAAGCCGTTTCTTCCTGCTTTTTCAACCGCAGCTGTGTCACGCAAAGCAGCTGCGGTTGAAAAAGCAGGACATAAAGGTCAGGTAAGAGCCCAGGCGGGCGGGTGGGCCAAAATAGCAGCAGACATAGAACCGGTTCTATCTGTCTGCTGCTCTTCAGAACTATCGGTTCTACAGAGATGGACAGAACCGGTAGAATCCCACCCCTGGCTAAGCCTCCCCACCAAGGTCACGAAACAAAGATAAATTTGGCTCTCTCACTTTACACAATAATTCTATCCAACAGCTTTTCAACCCTCAAGATAAAATAAATTATAAATAAATAATGATTCAGTGTTTGGGAAGATGTCAGAGTTAACAACACCAGAAGAGAATAGTGTGTTCTCCAGAGATGAATAGAAGAACCACTGATTGGGAAGAAAAGGTAACAAGAAACTGGAAAATTTCTCTGTACAGTTCACTGATGAAATCTGCAGTACATACACAACAGAGGTGGTATTCAGCAAGTTCTGACCAGTTCTGGAGAACTGGTAGAGGAAATTTTGAGTAGTTCGGAGAACCAGCAAATCCCACCTCTGACTGGCCCCACCCCCATCTATTCTCTGCCTCCCAGGTCCCAGCTGATTGGCTGGATCTTCTTTTGTTGTCCTGCACAGGTGAACGGAGCTGGAAAGTACGTTAGTGGGGTAGGGAGGGAATGGAGATTTTGCAGTATCCTTCCCCCAGGAGTGGGGAGGGAATGGAGATTTTGCAGTATCCTTACCCTGCCACGCCCACCAAGCCACACCCACAGAACCGGTAGTAAAAAAAATTGAATCCCACCACTGATACTCATCCTTCTGAATCTTGGATGCAAACTAAATAAAAGAAAGTAACATTATGAGTTCTTTTAAAAAGCAGAAACTTAGACAAAATATGCAGATACTATTTTCCCTGTTGCGTCATACTATAAAAAGCAAAATAAAATTTCCATGTAGAACAAAATGCAAGAATAACCATAGCTCTGAAACAAGACACTGTGAAAACTGTTTATGGAGTCATGACAACCTAATACAAGAATGAAGGTAACTATCTGCTGAGTGTTTGTTAGACTTATGAAACATACAGAACAACCCATCACACCTCAGAGTTCAATAACCCTGCTCCATATGATCCTCTATAGGTGGCGATGACTATCTGTTGTGGAAATCCTTTTCTATCTATAGAGGTTCTCTTCATTGTTGAGGTCTTAGAAAATCATGATTCTTAATTGCATGGAGAAATTTTCAGGTAGAAGATAATCTTACTACAGAGAGTTGCTCTGTGCAGGTAAAAGGCAATGCACAGGTTAACATACATTGCCCTTAAACATAGATAGATAGTTCCTGCTTTTCATAATATCTAGTGAGAGTTTTTGATAAAGTACAAATGGTCAGTACAGTGGAAATTTGCATAATGGACTCATCCAGTTCAGAAAGAAGGGGTAAATTTCTACAACTGAAATGTATTGAACTGTCACATATGCACAATTTTAGAGCTCCCGAGATTCACTTTTTTTAATGTATTTCTTTTAGATTTTAAGGTCTGCCTTCCACTTTGTAACCTGGTAAGACAGGGGTGTCAAATTGTCGTCACATGATATATTACAACATCCCCCCCTTTGCTAAAATGCGGGTTGGCATGGCCAGTGTGTAATACATCCGGCCATGAGTTTGACACCCCTGTGATGAGAGGAATTCTCCAAGTATAAAAATAAACACTTTTTTAAAAAAAATTGTGCAAAGCCATCATGTGAGATGCAGAATGCTTAATCCTGGAGCTCCCCCCACAAAAACCACAACCCAATAAGATGAGGAACCTAATAACCTCCTAATCCAAACTCCCCCACTGCCTTCTTCCTCCTCCTTCTCTTCCTCCTTCTTCTCCTCCCCTTCCCCCTCCTCCCCTTTCCTTCGTAGAAAATAAACTGTTTGCTTTATATAAAAAATGGGAATCTTATTTAGGGCTACAATTCAAATGTTAGTGCTTTTCCTTCCTTTAACAACAAAAAAAATCCTTTTAACAGCATTTTTAATAAAAACTCCTTTATTGCGTAAGCCATCTTTAAATAGAAGCCAAAAATTAGCTTGTTTTGCTACTTGCAATTGTACATCCCAAATAATGACTTCACCTCACTAATGGAATCCATTAAAAATAATGAATTCCATCTAAATCTAATTACAACTTAATATAAACTTTCACAATTTTTGGTGCAACATAGTAAAACATATTTTACACAGAGCCTACGGATTAGAAGTACAATTTT